TCCCAGATAATCCGTCATCCGACAGTTTATAGGCGGGGAGGATGGCAACAGCGCACACGGGGATAGAACAGTTTCAACGTATTCACATGACAAACCCTGTTTTTTTGCCGCCAATCTGGAGTGCGAATCACATAATGGTTATTGTCGAGTTTACATTCAACACTGTAAGGACCAGCAAACTGCGTTAGTAAACTGGACCCTACTACAGGCAATAACATCAACACCTTCTCCCCTGGTTGAAAACTTCTATCCACAGCTTTTTTGTCAAAACGAGCCTTCATTTTAGTTTGCACTTGCTTTAGGTTTTCCCCGGTTATTTTCCACGCTAGGCGAAGCCTGTCTCGAAGCTGACTCACATAGTCAGGTACACTACATGGCTCCTCCGGGGCCTCCAACAGCCATTTTTCCCTCAAAAGTGGGAGAGGGCCTCGGACCACATGTCCGAAAACCAACTCCGCAGGGCTAAATCCCAGCGACTCCTGTTTAGCCTCTCTAATGGCAAACAACAATAGGGGCAACCCCTCATCCCACTCTTTACCAGACTCCAAACAGAACTTACGTAACATAACTTTGAGAGTTTGGTGGAACCTTTCCAAAGCACCTTGACTTTCGGGGTGATATGGACTGGATGTAACATGCTTAGCATGTAGTTCTTTAACAACCTGTGCAAAGACTCTGGACATGAAGTTGGCGCCTTGGTCCGTTTGAATGATTTTCGGCAACCCAAACACAGAAAAGAATTTGATCAAAGCTTTAATTACTGCTTTGGCTTTCACCGTACGCACCGGAATGGCTTCCGGAAATCTCATTGCTGAGCACATTACAGTAAGAATATACTGATGACCGGCTTTTGTTCTCGGCAACGGTCCCACACAGTCTAGTATTACCTTTTCGAAAGGTTCACTCATTACTGGAATAGGAGATAACGGCGCAGGTGGATTGGGCTTATTGGGTTCGCCCACCAACTGGCAGGTGGCACAAGACCGACAGTAATCAGCTACGTGTTTTTTTAAGCCAGGCCAAAAGAAATTGCCCAGCACTCTGTAATAAGTTTTATTTATTCCGAGGTGCCCAGCCATGCCGGCATCATGTGCTAAACTTAGCACCAGATCACGATGCTGAGATGGTACCACCACCTGTGTAACACTTGATGTTCCACTCTGATCAGAAGACCACCGCTTCATTAACACGCCATCCTGCAGGAAAAAACGGGGAAGGGTGCTTTCCCCAGCCGTGACAACGGCTGCAAAACAGGAACTCAAAGACTTGTCATTTTCCTGAGTGCTTACCAAAGCTTCTTTATTCACATCGCCGCTCAATGCCAGTATTAATTTTAGCACACTGCATTTATCCCCCACATTGTCTTTCTCCCGTACAGAAGATTTTTGCTCCCCAGCCGCAAACGTATCTGCGATACTAGCCACATCAGCAAATTTGCGCGCTTGCGCCCGCGTAACAGCGCAAACGGGAAAAACTGTCACTTTTGGATCAGCAGCAACAGGTGTATCCATCACTTCAGGCGGTGGAAGCACTTTCCCCCTGGCCAAATCGTTGCCCAAGATAAACGACACACCTTTAAACGGCAACTGTCGTCTTATGGCAACCTTCACAGGTCCAGTTGTGATAGGTAGTGTAGATATACTCTGTGAAGGGGCACCCGAAGAACACTCATTTCAATTCCCCACACCAACACATCCGTGTGGCAGGCGGTTTTATCCGACAGTGGCAACACATCATCTAACATAAAAGATTGATGTGCCCCGGTGTCTCGGAGAATGGTGATAGTAACCCTGTCCTTCTCTTCTCCTGCCACCGAAACGAAGCCTTGGGAAAGGAAGGGATTAAAATGTGACTCTACCTCCATTTCTGGGTCACACCCCTGCATCTGGTCAGGACAGATAGGTGGGGAAACTACTTTAATGAGCCCCACGGGTCCCTTAGACCCTCTGCGCTGCTCTTTCTTCCACAGCGCAGGACAACTGGCGATCAGGTGACCAGACTCACGGCAATAAAAACATTCCCGCCTTTCAGTTTCCTCCTGTCTCGCCCTTTGGGTCTGTTCTCATGCTGCCCCGGTTGGAAAAATGACTTTATGTGTGAGGGTGAATTCATCTACTAAAACTGCTGCTTTTGCCAGGGACATCACCTTCTGCTCATTTAAATAAACTACCAACTGATCCGGGAGACACTTTTTAAATTCTTCTAAAAGAACCAACTCCTTCAATCCCTCAATATCCTTCACTTTGCTGGCTTGCATCCAGCGTTCAAACAAGCGATGTTTCTCAAGGGCAAACTCCACAAAGGTTTGTTCAGCGGTCTTTTCACTTTTACGAAATTTCTGACAGTAAGCCTCAGGAACTAATTCATACGCGTGCAGAATTGATTTTTTTACAACATCATATTGGAGGCTGTCATTAACGGAAAGGCTAGTGCATACTTCCTGAGCCTTGCCGATTAACTTACACTGGAGTAGCAGTGCCCAAAACTCCTTAGGCCAACTCAATGCAGCTGCTATACGCTCAAAAGCATCAAAATAGGAATCAATCTCAGCCTCCCGAAACGGAGGTACTAGTTTAACATGTTTGGTGATGTCAAAACTTGGTGAAGTAACTGTGGATGTGTCAGGGCGACTCGAGACAGGTGTGGAGGCAGCGGAAACAGGTGTCGAGACAGCGGCGGGCTTACGCTCCAACTCCAACGCTGTGACCCGGAGGTGCATAACTTGCACCTCAAGCTCTTTAGCGCGAACCTCTATCTCCCTAATACGGAGGGTCAAACGGAGGTCCTCCGTAGACCCTACTGCCTGAGGCTCCTCAGCCGCCCCAGACCCCACCTCGGCCACATCCGACCCCGCCTCATCCGCATCGGGCTCCACCTCAGCTGGAGACACGCTAACGGGTCCTTTGGCATCTGGCTCCGGCTCAGCCTCCAGAGCCACCTCCACGCCGCCCCTACCAGGCCGCTTTACAGCTGCCTGCGGGGAAGGGAGAATGCCCCGCTCCACCAAACCTGCACACAAAGCAACCTTCACCTCCGCTTTACGGGCATTGTAGGACACTTTAATATCAAAAAACTTGCTATAATAAGCAAATCCGCCTTTCTACACAACTCTATCTTATCCCAGGAAGGCAAGGTAACAAAGTCATCTAAAGAAAACCCCATCCTCCCCCACACACCTCACTCCTCCCCACACACAAAAGAAAAGCCGACCAAACAAACCACAGATCACAAAAACGAGACAAAACGGACGAGCCCCCAAATCATGTTACAACCCGGCTCAAAATGACCGTAACAAGAGCGGGGTGTCCCGTGACTTCCCACGCCCAAACAGACACAGCCACAGCATCAGACTTTTAACAACGGTTTATTCACAACAATGGCACTCAAGGTAGTGGGAGTGTATAATTTCGGGGTCAGCTAAGGCCAACACAACAAACAAAACTCAACCTAGGCTTTGGTTACCCTCTGACCTGTTCAAGGAAAAGAAAAGAAAGAAATAACACAGTCTGACCTCCCTGGTCTAAAAACACAGGAGAAAAGAAGGCTTCCCAAAATAATTGGCAGCTCACCCCTACTTGCTCCGCACTTCACACACATGCCCGA